ATTCAAATGCGGTAAAATGAGTGTATCGTATGCTTACAAGAAAATATCTTTGAAACTTACTTAGGGGGTATTTGAGTTTGAAATTTTAAGAACTGTAAAAAATCACAATCGGCAAGAAACAATTATTTTTCAAACAGTAACATAATTGTGATTTTTTTATGAATCAATACTTATGGCCAACATTTTTACTTACGGAAAAATATAGTCTCCAATAACATTTCTAATTTTACATGGCCGTTATAAAATGGAATAAGTGTTTTCTCTCAGACAGTTCGCTTGAAGATACAGTTTGGTTACTTGGCGGTCCGGGGTGAGCCGCGACTCAGTCGATTGAGCTGACGTTTCGGCCATCATGTTGTGACCTTCTTCAGAGCTACACAGCTGGACCGCCAAGAATCCAATGGCTCCGACCGCGGAAGCCTACGAACACATCACACAGAGTTTGATTCTGTAGAATATTATTCCTGAACCTCTAGAATATTAAACTGCTTTGCTTTTATTGTGTTTTTCAAATTACAATTACAGTTTCAGCATTATTTTATTTATTTTGTATTATTCCGTACATACATATGTATAAGGGAAAGTAAAAAATGAAACAACGTAATTGTAAATAATTATAGTATGTCAAAAATTGAATTGTGATTTGTCAAATAATTTCGGTTTACAACTTAATGGGCACCTGTGAAATCTTTCTTGCCCATTATATGACGGCATGGTCTGCAAGAATTGGGCGAGGGAAGTAGTTGAGGTGTTCCAAAAGCGTTGAATATGCATCTTATATGTTGATGTTTGCAGAGGTTTGTCATATTGTGATTAAACTAGGAGTGGTGTTCAGTCAGAACGAAAAGAACGTATGAACATCAGAAGTTATCGAATGGAATATTTGCGAACTATATGTAGTACAGTTTTGTGCTACATGCATTGTATAACCTAATAAAAATATTTTATACTAATTATTTCATTCATTGTTGGCATAAAGGTGCTCTACACATTGGGTATTCGGCTGAAGCGAGTGACAGCTCTCCGAATTCCGGGTAGTTGCGTGGGTCGCTTTCTATTCACCGATGGACGAACTCTCGGTACTTCCCCTATCCACCGTGTGTCGATCTTCTGAACGCGTCAAAGGAAGCGAACATTCGCCGAACACATTAGCTACTCGGCAATGGGAGAGCAGTAGCTCCCTATTGGAGGAATGTCGAATGCGTGGAGATGCTTTTCTTTGGGAGAGGAGTAAACTGAGCAATTACTGTTGTGTCGATGTAGGCTAAAACCTTTGTTTGGGACCTCTTCTATTTCTGCATTCGGACGACTCTCCAGCGACGTCTTCAAAAAAATTGATCAATTTTTTCTTCGTTTCTGAAGGTAATAGGTAGTTATTTAAACTCTATATATGAACATTCTAACACTTCTTAGCTTATTTTAAATTTAGTACATTCATACTAAACATTAGGGATGGTATCCCTCAACGGGTCTTCTTACCACATTCTAGATCGGCGAATTTGATTTTTAATATATGAAAAGTGTATTCCTGAATTCTGGATCAGTTAATCAGATCTTTTGCAAACTCAATCTCAGTTAGTGATGGGCTTTGATGCATGCTAATAAAAAAAAGCAAAGTTGTAAGTTGTGTGTGATGTGGTGATCTAATGGTGGTATGAAATACTTTTTGTAGTTGAATGTTTGTGATGTGTTATAACCGGGGTGTGTGTGTTACGGTTCTGAAAGATTGATTTTGAATTATTGGAAGTGAGAAATTGTTTGTTTTAGCGGCTTTTATCAGTAAGGGGTAAGTAAATGCAACTATGGGTCTTATTATGGATTTGTATGTGGCTAAGGCAGATTGCATTGTAATGAGCCCGGTCCCTTGGTTAGTATTGTTGACTAGTGCAGTTTTGATTTAGATTGGAAAATCTTTGCTTATAAAGAAGATAAGTAGTAACACTAACGTCCAAATCCAAAATATTGCTACTAATTCTCAAAACTGAAGTGCAATTGTGATGCTAGAAATGAGGCTTTAAAGAGGATGAAACTATTTCAGTTCAGTAGCGGTATAGCTGAGTTCAATAGTACAGTACAGTTAATTAGTAGTATAACATTCAACGGAATCTCATGATCGTCAAATGTCGGTTAATATGCAGGAACTTAATTAAACGATGTATATTCCTATCTTTCTCTTCCGTAAACAAAAGGTCTTCATACTCTCACTAAACTTCAGAATATACGCGATAACCTTCACCAAATTTTACAGCTAATATTTAGTCATATTTATATTGAAATAATATTTGTGATGAAAAGAAATTTAGCGAGTTCTTAATGAAACTAATGTCAATATTTGTATGTTTTTGCTTCAGTATTATACGCATTTCATTGTGATTTTAAAGGACGTAGGAAACTTTGCGAAGTGAGAGTGGTTGATTAAAGTCCATAGTTGGAGGAGTTACATTAGCAAAGATTCAATAGACACAAAAGAAAAATTGGAAAATGATATTAATAGTTTAAATTCTTCCATTTTGTTTAATTCCTGCAATATCTTATCTCTCTTTAAACTCACACATGAAAACTAGACTAATAAATTATTCTATTTTCTTAGATATTACTAGCGTAATCCGACAGATTTTGATCTGCACTTCATCTTCTTCTTTTTCCCTCCCTCTCCCTTTCTCTCCGTGTCTCTTTCACCGTCTCTATCTTTCCGCGTCTCTCTGTGCCTCACCTCTTTTCTGTCTCTCACTTTTTCCCTCTCTCGCCGACCCACTCACGTCCCACTCTCTTCGTCTCTCTCTCTCTCTCTCTGCTTCCCTCTCTCTCCGCCTCTCTCTCTCCGCCTCTTTCTCTCTCTGCCTCTCTCCTTCTCACCGCCTTTCCCTCTCTCCGAATCTCTCTCCGCCTCTATCTCTCTCCGCCTCTCTCTCTCTCCGCCTCTCTCTCTCTCCCCGCCTCTCTCTCTTTCACATTCTCGCCCTCGCCCTGCGTCACACGGCAACGCCTAGCAACAATAAGCCCAGGTGGAGCGCAGTTTGAATGAAAATTGAATTAAAATGAAGCGCAATTTTGTTCTGCGGCGCCATATGGAGTTACAGCAGAATTAATATCACATAAACCTTCTGGGTGAAGACCATGTAGTTGTGCCAACTTTCATGAAAGTCGGTCACACGGTGTCGGAGGTCACTGCTCGGATAAATACAAACATCCATTTTTGTACATATAATTTTGATATGGCCACAGGGTTGTTAAAGTATCACGACGGCCAGCGTGTCTTTTTTTCTCATTTTACTTTTTTTTTCTTTCGCTTTACTTTTAAAGCTTTGTTGCAAGATTTCGTACATTCCTTCCCCTTTATGAACATAGCCAGCAGCTTGAAGTCTGAAATTAAACCGTAATAAAGAGTCTGAGAGCAGCTAATTGTAAAATATCTCCTGTGCGCGAAATGGAGTTCGTTAACTTTCATGAAGGTCGTATTTACTTTTCTCATCCAGTGAAAATATAAAGCGATATTTTAATTTCCGTGCACCCATCGTGCGTGAAAGCAAATACGGTTAACGAATGCGCGTGCCAACTCTTAGGAGGTTCAGGGTCGAATCATATCTTTATCTGAGATCATTTTGTTTCCGTTGTAATAACTGATTAATTTTTACTCTAAACACAGTGATTCGCATAGTCAAATTTGGTTGGGCGAAGATTACATACTCTATAACGTCTATAGAATTTTACTACATAGACACAGGATTACATTGAGAGGATTTTTACGATTAATAAAAAAATAGTTTTGTAAGGGCATCATATTGAAAAACCATAAAATAGAAATAGATTTTTTTCTGTTTTATTTGTTCGAATATGATCGCGAAGAATATTATAAATTCAAATTGTTGTTCTATTCTGAATCCGTTCTTCTGGTAAGGGACATCTATTTCAAATATACTACTCATAAAATATCGCTCAGATTTCCTTATCATTTACATTGCTTCTGTTCTACGACACCTATATTAAATATATGAGATCTGAAAAATTCTTGAAAACGGTATCGAAACTAAATTCGAAAGTCCCGTAATTTGCTATCAACTGTTTAGGAGCACACTTGGACACACATTCTTACCACGGCTTTGTGTGTATCTTTATGTCCTTACCCAAGGGCTGTAAAGTGCACTCCACTGTTGTAATAAAATATTTAAATTCCATGAAATTTTCTAATTAGTAATGGAATATAAATGTCGTAAGACTCAGGAGTTCATTACTTCTAAGTAATATTTTACTCAAAATAGTTCCGTTTTCGCAAGCGGTGTATTGGGTGAAGAAGCAGAAATGTTTTTCGATTGTTTTTCCTGAATTCTTTCATCTTTCAGTTTGATTTCATGAATTCATAAGAAAACAAGTATATAGATGTAGATGATAATTGAGTTATGTACACTGAGAGTCAGATTTGAAAGGAATTGTTTTACTCTAGCTTTGCTTAAAATCCAAGATTTTGTATAATACGCTCGCAGTACGTTCACACCGAAAAATTCATAGAATTCCCACAAAATTTATTTGATTTTCGCAGATACATGTCTTATATCTGTTATTTATTCCAAATTAAATTGTTTTATATTTTTATTTGTTGCAGGTAAGTACGCTGATTTCTCCTTGACATGGGTCCTTTGGCGTCGTGGTGTGAATGTAGTCTCTGATAGTAAGGTAGTATATCTCTACGATCCTACATTCGATCTTGTCGTGGTGTAATGTCCAGCCACAGAGCTCATAAGTATATTATGCTTGTGTATTACTAGTATAAATATTGATTATATTAACGATATTCTCTTGTAATATCCAGAAAATATTAATGTTTCCTCAAATTTGTCCTCTTATTTTGCACATTCACCCGAATTAAAGACTTTTTAAATGAAAGTAATGAGTTGACATTTTTGTTTTTAATGCGAATTACAATTTTCGAATCACTCTTTGTGCAATCAAGTTTTATTTCATTTTCAGAATTATCAGGAAATCTAGTAATAATACTCTGTTGTGGAAAATAATTGTTTATGGTAAAGTTATCAATTAATTATCATTCCAGAGATAATCATCATTATCATATCACGTTAGTTTATCATATTGTGTTTGAAAATAAAATTGTCGAAAGATATTTATATGTTATCAGTTCATTATTTACAAAGAGCTTGGAGTACTGTCATTATAAAAACCTCATTTGATAAGGTGTTCTTGTGATCCAATCACTGTCATATAACGTATTATTAAGACATTTTAAACAGAACTACTGATGAAGAATTGGCACATTAATAAAACAAATCAAAAATGAGTTTCTATCAATGTCACTAATATTCAACATTTCATAACAATTTTTTTGCACAATCCGTGGATATAACCAAACACTGAAAACACGATTTCTGGATGTTGTGGATATTTAAAAGTGTTTGATGCATAATACAAAGTAATAACGATTATTTTATAAAATACATTGGAAATATATTTATTAGGTTTATAATGAGTAGTTTATTTTACATTCACAGCCAGACACTTTTCTTCAAGATGTAATACCTCCATATTATATCTTGGACTGCAAAAAAATGAAATAAATATGTTAGTTCAGTTCTAACGGCTTACAATTGTTTTTGAAGTGTGGGTACCAGAATGAAACACTCACGTCAAAGGTAATTGCAAGGACACCGTCATCTTCCGAAGTCTTGATCTCGATGTACGCCTTCCCATCGCTGCCCACGGTGACGCTCTTTCCAGTGCAGCTGCTGCCGGACTTGAGGCCGGAGATCAGGTCGCAATATGTACCTTGCGGCAGGCCAGTCTGCAAGACACATTGTAATTAAATTGCCCCGTCATCAGTTATTCCTCCAGAAATTAAGACATTTAATTGTTTTTGAAGCAAATATATAAGCTTACCTGAAGAAGTCTGTGACAGATCGTAGTTAATCCTTGGTTGAAAGCAATGAAGCCCTTGTTGCCCTCGGGAGAAAGGCAATTGGTTGTTTCCGTTGTCCCACCCAATTCGCCACCTGAGTGACTGAATTGTTTCGATTTGTTTAACCAAGAAATTGACGTTGATTTTCTTTGTACTTTATATTACTATTGTCATTAAACGTAAGAACCAAATTTCCGTCGTAGTATTTATAAAGGCCCTCCTCTCAGACGTACATTCAGGTGCGACTTCTTCGAAAGGCCAACCATGATGTAAATCTGCCTCCAGCGGTGCTCGCACACCCAGCCGTTGCCGCAGGTGAGGTCGCTGTTGACGATCACGTCCTTGATGTTGCCGTTGCCGTCAGCTGGGGGGCCGGCATCGGTATCAGAGAAATCGAAGCTGGACATGACGCGAGTGACGCCGTACGGCCAGGCTTGCATGAATGCCACAGCCATCTAGAAACAGAGAACGTTTTTCAAGATTCGTGAATGGCACACAATGCTTAAAAAGAGATTAATGAAATTGGTTCTCACTTTGTACTGCTTTGAGGATTTGTATGTCAAAATGGATCCAGCTCCACCATGGCCTCTTTGGTTGTCGTGATTGTCAATGAAGGCCAATGCGTCATCACCATCCATAAGGCCCCATTGTGGTCCTGATCAGGAAAATAAACACTTTTTAAAATACGTTCTGATTTAAAGCAGCGTATAACTATTACCTGATTTAAATTCACATTCTTACCAAAGTTAGTCAGCCACTTGAGTGCGTTGTTGCCTCCGAAAACTCCGCTCAGTTCGAGACCATATCTGAACTCCGTCACTCGACCGAAACTGGTGTATTCGTAGTTGTGCACAGCTTCCGTTCCATCTAAACGGAAAGACAATCTCTTTTTGTTGGTTTATCAACTTAGTAATCATTTAAAAGCGAAAATGATCTGGTTATATGATCCTTGTACTTACACATATCGATGACTTCTTGGAAATAGAAAGGTCGGGCGCCTGCTGCGAATCCATGGTCAGTGTTAAGGTTCTTCACTCTGCCGTAGATTATTTCCAAGTCTCCGGGCCACATGTGCTTAGCTGCGTCCACACTGCGAAAAAAATAGTTCTTCGATGAATGTTTACGGTTCGCGTAAATCTTAGCAAAACCAAAATTGTTGTCATAATCATACCGGAATCCGGCGACGCCTAAATCAACGAGGTGGTCAAGGAACTCTACGACTTTGTCGCGCACCCACTCCTTGCTTTGATCCAGGTCTTTCAAACCAACTAGTTCGCAGTTGCGTACCTGGGAATAAATATATGATGAGACGGTCGGAATACAGCAGTAATAATGCAATACAACATGCTTGTAAAATGTGTACCTCCGCTGCGTTGTTGTAATTATTGATGTTGCAAGACGGATTAAAATCTCCAGGACCGTATGGCACAGCAGGGAACTGCTTGTTGTTAGGATCTGCCGTGGATCCCCCAGTTCCACGCGCGTTATTATCGTCGGCAGCCATGTGGTTTATCAGTACGTCTACGTAGACTCTGTTGACAGATTCATTATGAGAACGCGCGCACCCGTGTGCGAGTTGAGTTTGTGGTGAGTGACTGATGCGTTACCTGACGCCGACGTTGTTGCAGCGGCGCACCATGTCTGCGAACGCGGCCTCGTCTCCGGAGCGGGTGACCAGCTTGTAGGAGATGGGCTGGTAGCGCTCCCACCACGGACGGCCGCTCTTCACCACGTTTTCGTTGGCGGGCGAGGTCTGAAGCACATAGTATTGTCAGAAGCTATGTCAAGATTGTCATATTACGAAGAAATAAATAAACGTTTGCCGTCTTCATTATACGAGTTTTGGGAAAACCTGGTTTTTTATGTCTGTGTAAAAGGATAATTTTCCTTTTAAACAACATTTTCAATCCGTGGTTTGGATGTCTACAGAAATTAATGTTGGGTTATCGATCTTGCAGTCGTTCCGATATGATAATTACTTTTTCAGTTTGGAAAATTATAATTTCTGTAAACAAAAATTGAACGAAATTTTCTGTACTAACGGAGAGAATTTCAGTTAATAATGCGGCTCAAATACCCTTTCTGTCTTTTCGTAAACTTCAAAATTTCTTTTATTCCTGGGCATTCTCCATTATAATTTTGAATTAATAAGAATTTAATGATTGTAAAAAAATGAACTTAAGATGGTCTTATGTATAAGGTTAAATTCAATTCTGACGTATTACAGCTGCTCTTTCTTTAGAAATTTTAGAAAAAAATATAAACTAATAACCTCAGTATTGAATTCCGTAATATCTTGATTTGTGATGCAGATTTATACAAAATTTAAGATCAGGGCTAACTGAAGTCTTTCCTAATCAAGTCGTCGATACAAATGTCAAGTGTATTACTATGGAAGATACAGCTTTTACGAACTGTCAATGCTTAAACTGTTACAAATTCGTTTTACAAATTGTTGCAATTTCAATATTTTTCTTGACAACAACCTGCACATATGTGAAGAAAATACCAAATGTGCTTAAAATTTCAAACTCTTCAAAAAAATATCTACTTTTATTTATACATTATTCTATTTGTGAAGTGAAAGGCCATATGTTTAAGCGTTCCGTCTCTTATCTTGTACTTATACTAAAATAAAAATAAAATTCAAGATATTCTCAAGAGAAAATAATTTATTTCATATAACATAACTATCATTCACAGAGAAATAGAGGGTATTCAAAAAAGATATAATAAGAGGTTCAAGGTTTGAATAGAGGCATTGAAGTAATTTTGCACATTCAGGAATCATTACCTTCTATCAGAAATCGTGACAAATGAGGTCTAATTTTGAAGTAAACTTTTAAATGCCCCAAAATTAGAAGGTACTCAATAATATTTCGTTTCATCTCTGTCGGTAATTATGTAAAACAAACATAATTTTTCTGAACACATTGGAATATACACGTTTCATTTTAATCTACAGATGAAACTAATATATTTTTCCTAAATCGTTATTACATTAATTTGAATGTTTTAAAATCCATTCGAGATGGAACAGAAGTCTTACTGAAGTATAACGTATCTGCAAAAAACAACACATGGCGTTTATATACCTGAAGACCCGCGTAGCCATAGGGGCCCAGGAAGCGCTCGCATTCCAAGGCGATGTCGGACCACTTCCACTCGAAGAGGTGGACGATGGTGCTTCGCCCTTCGGTCCAGTTGGGGTCCTTCTGGGCCCAGCCTACGGCGAGCAGGGCTCCGAACAGCAGAGCGGAGAGTGTGCGCATGGTGATGGCGTCTTGGTCTGCAGCTCCGCGAAATGCCACCCCCCTTTTATAGTGCTTCGTAACGCTCCCGTGCTCATATCACCACACTCCCACAAGCACTTGACAGAAAGTCGTTAACGGCTAAGAATATCTTTAAGTCGTGAGTTATTAGTGATTATTCGTGAATTTTTCAAGTGTGGAATGTTATCAGTCTCCGCTGAAGCACGTGAAGAGAGACGAAAACGCAAGTCAAAACGAAATCACGTCGCTAATATGGTCACTAAAAGTTTGTATCTCTCTATTCGTGATAATATTTCGTGACAATATAATGTTATACGCAAGACGTTTTTATATATTTGAAAGATCTTATCGATCGCATGTTCTTTATATTAGCGTATTAAAATCCATTCTGTACGCCGCCAGAATGCGGCCTTAGTGCATCCCCTGAGAGCTTCTGAGGAATGAGGGGAAGTAAAGTTTCTCCGTCCATAAATGGACGCGGAACCTCGCGGAGAAGGTCGGTTCCGCCGGTCTCCATTTTGTATTCCTCATTCGCGCGATTATTCTCGTTTTCGCACTTGACGTGATAGTGTTGATTTAGCGGCGACGCGTGCACCGCGTGATGCTGACTTAACGGTGGAACGAAGTATAGTACTCGGAAGTGACGGCGATGGAAGTTCATTGGGATTGTGAACAAGACGGACCGGTCTCTGGCGGCCCGCGTGCCGCGCTGCCGGGGGAGAACAGGCGAGAGGGAGTGTGCTGTGGTCCCGTAAGTGTGCGACCAAGCACAACATTGCGGAAAAGTATTAACAGGGTCACCTCTTTATTCCAACTATTTAAAAAAATATTTTGTAGAATATTTTAGCTCTGATTCGACCTGGATGGCCGAGGTGGCTGGAGCATGTGCCGACTCGGCGGCTCGGTCCAAAGGGCCGCGGTTTCGAGTCTCGCTGAGAGCATGGTTGTTTGTCCCTTGTCTTTCATGAATGTGTGTTGTCGCTGAAGGTCTTGAGTTTTCTGGTCACTAACCGAAGAGTCTGCATGTGTGTCTGGTGTTAATAGTATCACCATGAAGAACACAGTGGGTACTCGTCGCTTATAGTTGAAATCGGCATTCCCTAAAGCTGGAAAAAGCCGTAGGGACAAAAATATCACGTTCGGTTTATTAAGCTAATTAAGAGCTGCTGAAGGTGCAAACATTTTTTCTAATTAAGGAACCTTTTGATTCTGTATCTATCTTGTTCGCCCACCACCCACTGACTCTTCTCAACAAACGTCTAACAAACGTGACGTAGATGATGATTTTTTGATAATGTTGCAATCTTTATATTTAAAATTTTAAACGTTTTGGTTTAGAAAGAAATCTGAGCTTTCTACTCAATTAAAATTCTGGCTTTAAATGAAATGCAGTGGGCTCCAGATGTATTATCGCATGCTTTTATTAACCGCCGTTATAGAATAAACCCAATGTTAATAAAATAATTATGTATTCACATCTGTGCGTGATGGGTAGCTTATAGCCTTACAAATGCGAACAGCATTTGACGTTAAGTGAATGTAGTACAATCTCTGCCGCCACAGTCCGGAACTATTTCCATTTATCACAAAAAATGCAAAAAATCTTTAATTCTTGCATGCAGTTACTTTACGTTTCACTGTGCAAAACCTTTCCATTAGCGCCAGCAAATGTGCGAATGTGAGGTTATACCCGATGCTGGAACTTGTTTATAGTTGGCGAATGGAACATAACTAGTTTCTAAGTTCAAAAATTGTTTTGAAATGCAAAGATTATTTAGTTTATATAAATACGAAGTCCAGCAATCGTTTGATTCATGCGTTCGTTTACAAAAATGTTTCATTTATCATAATATGTGATAAATTACGTTTTTAATGTAGGTGAATAGGCGGATATCTTAATATCCAATACAGTACACATCTTGGTAAATACAATAAATGTCTATTACATTTTCACAACGATGGTTAACTCTGTGTTCACAATGAATAGTGATACAATTTTTCAGAATTAAAGAACCTTTCTCATTTAATCTGTTTTGGAGAACACGCCCTGAACGACTTGAAACATTTTTGGACGTTTTTAATTTTCCGTCCAGTGCATATGTAGTTCGGTTCTGTTCCCTACGGAACTTTCTTACTTCCCATGTAACTGCAAGGGTTCAGCTAGTGTATATAATATGTTTATATTATATTTTGGGTTAAAATAGGATACACGGTACACCCTTAGAGAAGTATAGTGATGGGGGGGGAGGGGTCTCTTTAAACCCTCCCTCAAACTACGATACGTGCTCTGAAGGAAATTAATAAAACTTACGGATAGAGGATTTACATGGCTCGCCGTTCATACGTTTAGTCCCCACCGCATTGTAATGCCAATTTACTTTCGAAGGCATGTTTTCTCGCAGCGCTCGCCAAGATCCAAGTCACGGCGAGGCTCGGGCCTTCGGCCCTCGCGTTCACTCTAAACATCCTTGAGTCTATCCACCTCATAACTATCAATTAATCTTTATAAGAAAGCACTTATCAAGAAAGCCTCTAAAATTCAAACTGCGCAGTTACCGCCGGAGCGTCGTGAAGTGCCGGTTTAAACGACTTCCGATGTTGCACCGTATACTAGCCTTCAGCCAGATTTTGCTTTCACATCCTGGTATTATGAACATGTTTTAATAATTCGGAAAACATCTCGAAAATTGTCAGAAATTAGTTTTGGGAGTCTCCTGGTGTCATTTTAAAACCGTGTTCGAAATTCTGGCAGCCTTGACGTTCAGCCCCGATCAATACTTACTCCGAAATTTATTACAAAAACCCTTCTTTTATTTGCGATTTACATTAACTCAGACCCTGAAATTTTAAGCGTAAGGCTTTTGTTTGGAGATGTATTGTAAATGGGTCTTAAATAAGTACAAAATGACCGACCCCTTTCGATTAGTTTTATCAGTATTTTATACTTTTGTCTTACAGTAAACTCTCGTTTACACAAATTCAAAGTGTCTGAAATAATCAGCGTCCTTGTCATAAAAAATCGTGTTTATATATATCCATATTTCTACATTTCTTTGGTGGGACCCAAATTATGTTCGTTTTACGACGAATTTTCGGTTAAGGGAGTTCGTGCAATCGAAGGCTTGCTGTATTGTGAAAGAGGGATCCGAGGGACCTTCAGATTCTGCATAGCTGTGGATTTTTATCCGGTTATGGCGTAGCTCGGTCCTAATGTCCACTCATCCTTCATTCCAAATCAGATTCAGTACATAATGACTTCATTAACGGCAAATATTGGGTAAAAATATCCAGGTTGACGCGTGACGCTTCTTCACGCCATCTTCACCCCACTACGTGAGGTGCAATAAGATTTTCTAGTATTTACTAGTTCTATCGTTTCATTAACTGTAAAGAGGGTCGTGGAAGTGAGTAGTTACCGGAAAAGGCTGTGGCTAACATCCTCTAATTCTTAACAGCTTAAACAAGCAGTACTAAAGGACAAGGGTAAAAAAGAATATAAGACAGGAAAATTATTGTTGGATATTTTATGTCGACATTACAAAGTTAGTTTTAACTAAAATTAGAAAAATGTCTATATTCAATATAAATTAATTTTATAAATAATTAATATTCAATTATGAAAGATCTATATGAAAAAATTGAGTGTTATAGCTTCACTCTCATGTAGGATATAAGAGTTTCATTTTAATTGCACAACAAACGTCATTTCTAACCTGATAAAGACCAACAGTGCATATACGTTTTATAATAATTTGCAAAATACATCATCTTCCGCTTTGAAGTTTAACAGGGAAACTATATATATTTTCATTGGTTAAAATTTTAGCCAAGCTAATATTCAACATCAATAGAGCCAATTGATATAAATAAAGTGATTTTGCTGTGTGTAAATTTCTTAAGTAGTTGTGATAAATATAATTGAGTATATTCTTCAATACTAAAGCACATTTAAATGCATATTTTAACTTTGTTAACTCATTAACAATGTGCGGACGTATGAATAATCCGAGAAATCAGCTAAAACTAATACGTCTCCAAAAGCCAGATGTTGTTTATTTAACGAAACAATCAGATTGTTTTTAGAAGTGTAGTCGTGAGACAACAAATTGATGTTTTTTCGACCGAAGATACTATAAACTCTTGAACAGATTTCACTGTAGTTTCGATCTCCTAGTGATCTACACGACTACGTCATATTGAGATCAAAGCTATCATGTTCATTTTTTACGTTTATTTTTTTAAGTAAAGCCACTATCTTCAGCTCGTAAAATGTGTTTTCCAATGTGCCCATAACACTTGAGATCTACAAATCAGCAGTTGATGACCCAAGTAGGAGTGTCCACGTTGAGGGTGTGCGTGATAGCAATGAGCCAATTAGAGAACCAGTTTCTTATCGTAGCTTTATCTCTCAAAAAATTCCGTGAGTCGCCTCGAACGCATAGCAATGCGTGATCACCGCACTGTTAAGCACGTTGCTTTGTGTTTCTGTTGAATAGAGTAATTGCATTCCTTGAAATCATTTCATAACGGTCGAGTTTTTAATGAAACAATAACATTGTTTGAATACGATTGTAAATATATGTACACTTATTTTATGGATGGTAATTAAAATAATTTTGAAATAATGAATTACACGCGGTATTTTAGTAATACGTAATAGTATTAACAAATACTATAAGAGCCAATGCATGATCCTCTGCGATATTTTATTAATACGTAATAGTATTAAGAAATTCTATAAGACACAACGCATGACCCTCTTCGATATAACGGGAGACGTTTGAAGACTGCGCCTCTAGTGGCCCGACCTATCATAACTATGTTTGTGATATAAAATATTGAAGTGTATGTTTGAAAGAGTTTTTAGTTTACTTGTGATTATTTATATTTACGTTTCGAAGAGTGATTCAATTATTTTTTTGTTTGTTAGTACCTGTTTTATATGTCTGGGAAGGCTATGATTGATTGCACAAATAATGAAATTTAGAAGAATCGTTTTTTCGATTTCCTCATGGTGAGAAGTTAGTCAAGAAGTCTATAATTCTCGCACACTTCGTATTGTAAGTGCTTTAATATGCAAATACTTACAATTATCCCATTAAGTACAGATATTAAATTATCAAATCACTGTTTTGTATTGCTTGTGGTGTTGTACATTTATTTTGCAAAAATATAAAATTTAATATGTAAATATAAAAGAGAAAATAAATAATGATGATAATAAAAATGTAAATAATAAATATATTAGAAACCACAGAACTACAAAAGATTTTGTTTGTGTATTGGGCAGTGTGAATAAATACTTAGACTATACTTCAAGTCTGAAGTAAGTAGTAAAAGCATTTACTACAAAGCAAAAGCATTTAGTTAATTTGGTGTGAATGACCTTTACTTTCACTAGGACGTAAATGCAGGGAAAGTAAGAAAATACTTGTAGAATGATACGTTAATGAGTACGTATTCATATCGGAGGAGCTATTTGTGAAGTTAGGTTGCTCAGCTGATTCAATTTACTAGTGCGTTACACGGAATGAGCTCCTCAGACGAGATATGAGTTATCTGAGAGAGACGACTACATTTCTCAAATGCGATTTGTGAAAATCGTTGAAAAACTTAAAACAGTATCGTAGATTCCAAACATTAAGGCCGCAAAGAAAACTGCACACGCAAAGAAAACTACACACTCTGCGACTATATGTGAATAAGAGCCAGTGACATTACTGAAGTAAAACGTACATAGGAAACCAACAGGAAGTAGAAACATATTTTGCAGCCGTGAGGGTAATGGATCTACTAACAGGAGTACAGAATTCCGTTTTTTTTGACACGTGCCCGGTTCGTCATGACGAAAACTGAAAAGTTTTCTATCTCTATCAAATCGGAACATTTTCCGCAGGCCCGTAAATACGTAACGCGAGAGCGGTAGTTTTTTCGTGATCATTAATTCAAGAATTGAGCCATTATTTCACAATTATTACACATTATTTTATTCCGAACACACTCGTCGGACTTGGCAGCTAAATCTCTGTAGAAAAATACTTATTCTCTCCAACAGAATCTTAAATTCGCGGATGAAAGATTCTTAAGTGCGGTCATTACCATGCTTTAAAAAATCGTAGTATTTAGTTATAAAATGGAAAAAAATCAGTTTTATTCACATTTTAAGTAAATACTGGAAAAATAAGTTATTACTAAGATATTAAGTATTTAGCATTTATTGGTAAGTAAAAGCTAGTACTTATGTTACATTTACCTAAATGTAAGTATTTACATCAAAAGCTTTGCGTAGTATAAGCGTTTACTTACTTTTATATATATTACCCATTGAAATTCGAATTTGTTGCCGAATTTTGAGGTCATGTCACCAGGTCTGCTAGTGAACAGTTGTGTCCCATTAATAGTAAGAGAAAGGTTCAGTGTCCTTTTTTGTCTCTATGGAATTTGGTACAAGTAATAATTACATTATGAAAACTACTTCAAATTAAATGTAATTGTTAAATATGAATCATTTAGTTTCTTAGAAGAACTAACACTTCTATAGTTAGTGTACTATAATTATATAGTTAGTGTAGTATTACAAAACTAAAGAAGCACATATATATCTTAATAATATTTATCTTAGATCATGTCTAAGACATTCTCTAAGATCTGAACAATCTGTGAACACGTAACACTCGTTGTTTTCCGCAAAGTTACCTAATAGAGATGATATTCCTCGTATGAAGAAACCTTTCTACGAAATATACCGATGTTCATTAATTCTGACGAAAAAATGCTGATAAATTAGTGAAAATTAAACTATATGAAAATGGCTTTGAAAACTAAATTTCCTTCCATTTCCTTTATTCCGTGAATGGTATTCTGGTTTCCTTCTGAAATACCCATGAAAGGATTCTTTTGGAGGACTTGAACATAATTCTTTTAGTGAGTTCGTTGTGTAGTGTAAGATTTATTTGAGCGGTGACCTTTCCGTCATTGCTACACAATGTCGATAGTTATTACAGACTTTTGTAATGCATATTTAAAAATTATTTCTTTTGATTTGTTTTTAAAATTCAATATTTTCTTACATGCTTTATTATCTTTGTAATTTTGTAGTGTGATTATCAAACAAATTAATTTTCTATGCTTTACATTCGGCTATATTTTATCATTCACATGTTAGGCCTAAATGCCGGAAACTAAATATATCTAAAGAAGTTAATGTTATAACAAAAATAATTCCTATAACTAGAATTAAACATAATAAAATGATTAATATTGTGTTCATATATATTGCATCGTTAATGTTCTTACTTTCTCGCCTTCAGAAGAAAAGAAGTATTGTAATTGTGCGCCGGTCAATGGTAAATGTTTGACAGAAAAACGGTTATTGCCAGGCCCTGGAAATGAAAATGTGTATAATTGTTGAGAAGAAGATTACTTCCTCTAAAACGGTGTGTATTTATAATCCATGTTTTGTGGGTTCTTGGTGGTGAAGAAAAATCGATTTACAGCAAAAATGTTTGTCCGTGTGCCTCTGATCAACGTTACTTCAGACAATTTTCTCCAAAACTAATATTGCTTGTCGGTCTGAATGAACTAGAGTTCCTGTGACTTTGGAACGGAAATTTGGATTTTTAGTGATACTTTTTATAATGCATCAAAACATTTTCAAAATTTCCCCAAAAATTGCACGAATTTTTTGATTAAACATTGTCCTCGTATAGCGTAGGGACGCTTAAAAGAAAGGTGCAGGTTTCGTTTCGTTGATGTACCTAATCTTTTGATAATTATATAAGTTGAACAACTTTTTGGAGTCTTCCTACAATTTTCTCTAATATTCTACAATATTGAATATAGACATCATTTTTTTTAATAAAATTAGTTCTTCAAATACAAATCTTGAAATAAGATAATGGAAAATTTTTTCAAAAATGGGAGTAGTTTCCGCATAACTTTGCGTAAAATAGTCAATTTTGTTTGATTGGTGATGCCGGACGCATCAACGGGTCTTCAGTCCCGTAAGTGCCTGCTTTCTCGCGAGTGGTGGCCCTGATCTTTCCCTGCTGAATAGCGAGATCCGGCGCCGACCTACCGTCGGCTTAATTGGGATTTTCTGCAACCAGGTTTCACCCACTAGTGGGGCACCGCCCCAGCCGAGGCAAACTCTAAGCTACCGACCGGACTTCCGTCTTGGGTGATAGTGTAGTGCGTG